GTCAAAGAGTTGAGACAATGGACTAAAGGTAAGAAAAAGCCTTTGCCTTTTGGAATTCCAATGGTCTGGCGCGAGCCTAGAAACCACGGAGATGGCTGCTATTTTTGATCATGTAACGTGCAAGGCTACAACACTCGAAATAAAAAGGAAATTTCTTACCCAAACCTTCAATCTGCTATAAGACCTGTTGCTCATGGATATGATGTCCCTGTACCTACTCCATCAGAGACTCCTAATACAGTTTCATCTGATTCTTAATCTGAGGTCAATAGAAATTATGATAGGGATTGTTTTCAACCTGAAACATCTGGAAAGGTTTCATCAAGACCTCAGGGAAATGGAGAGGAGGAATCAGGAAAGGTGGAACATCAGCATGATGGCCGATTACTGCTGTTCATTGAAACAAGATAATCCAGATGCAATGCATAAAAGAAAGACCACAACATGTAGTTTTGAGACTAAAAGACGTAGATTTCACAAAAAAAAACAGGATGAATGAAGATGCATATTTGTTTGACATCAATGTTCTTCCCTTTTCTTCAGTTTATTTGTATTTTTGTTAACAAACATAATGATAAAAAATGTTCATTGTGATAGACGAAATAATAATTGGATCTAAGTAAGAGTTTTTTTACTTTCCGATTTGTAAAAAATCCTTATGAGAAAAAAATGAATATTATTTTCAAAAACTGCATAGCTGAATTATGGAAGATCTGTTATTAAAACCAAAACAACTTTTATGAAGTTTAAATTCGCAGGCCTGTGTTATCAAAGTTATAATAATAGTTAAACTGCACACTGAGTTTATACAGAAGTAGTTATGCAGGAGACTGTATTTATTTTGATGATTAAACTTGCTGGATTTTGATAAGATTAGTATTAATAATTGTGCATATTTTCAGTTGGTATGATTGTATTCAATGAAAGGTTCAATATATCGTACCTACATGTGTAATGTGTAAGAGTAGTAATGCAAACCTGGGACTTTAAAATTAAGAAAGTTAATCTCGATATTTGCTTCCTTACTGAATGCAAGCTCTGACACGTCATTCCTAAGTTCCTCCATTTTAAATTATCCAATCGAAACCTACAAAATTCTTCAGCTTACAGGAGTTGTCAAAGAAATTGTTGGATCAAGAACTTCAACTGAAACACCGTCAGAAGAGACAACTTACTGAGAAATTTTCATCTACATAATAACCTCTGGCTTAGCAGAAAAACATGCATACAATGTCTTTCATATCTTCAGAATACTTGTGGTATGCATACATGTATCATTACATAAAAAAAGATTGGTGTAGCCAACATAACAGTTTCATTGTTCATTAGTATAGTCTTAACCCCCCCCCCCCCATTTATTTTTGTCTTCCCTCATTATTTTACTCATGTAATGGATACATCAAAACATTCAATGTAGCAACCTAGTTTTACTTCATTGTTCGTTCCATTAACCAATGTTTACTTTTGGAATGTTTTCCTTTAAATGTTTACTCTCATTTGATGAATGATAAATGTATATTAACTTCTGATCAGGTTTTTTTCTGACTTTTGCAGTAATTAGTATCACAAGTTTTTTACATAAAATACCACTAATATTTTTTGGCAGATAAAATATAGTCAAGTTCTTTAGGCATCTTTGTGTGGTTAATCTTACATTAACAAGTCAGTGCTGGTTTCACTATATTATCTACCAAAAGAAGCTACAAAATGTTATTACTTGTTAAAGGTGAACACTGAGTTGATGGATTACCTTACATGATGGTGGTGTTTTTATAATTTTGACATTAAACTCATTTTAAGTGTTGATTTCATTGTACTCAATTATGAGTGAATCTCTTCAGTTAGCATGTGTAATATATTTTGTCTTTTATTATTTTGAATTGGTAGAATGTAACTTTCTATATACTGACCATTTCATCTAGAATAGGCAGTTAATGAGGATTCTTTCTAGTACATTGTTAGAATATAAAGCAAAACCAATTTATTTGGGATTTTCAAATAATTTATCATAGTCATTGAAATATAAAACTTGGTGTAATTTTACTAATAAGTGTTTTTTTTGTTTCTTTTTCCTAAGAGTTTCCTCTTGAGACTATACACATCAGTAAACCTGGTGAGATAAGGAGAGAATATGAACTACAGATGAAAAAAGTAAGGGCTCACTTCCTAAGTCTTTTTCTTGTTTGTTTATGAAAATCACTTTTATTCTAAGTATATTTTTGTGAAAAATGTTACCTTCATGCAAATTGTTTTTAGCTTTTCAGAAAATTTCAAAGTTCTGTTAAAGTAAATGTTGAAAGGTTTAAGAATCCATTTGAGGAATTTAAAAGAAGCTGCTGTAAACTAAAGGATTCAGTGTGTATAATTTTAATTTAGAGCATATACCTTCACATTAAGATAGCACAAAGTAAAGTAAAAAAAAATGTTTGTTTCCAGTACTCATAAAAGTTGTAAGATGTTTTTTTCTCTAAACTTTTTATTGTTTTTATGTGTGATTTGTTTTTCTACTCACTTTGGTGGGGAACTTCTTAGCATAATATCATGTTAAACATTGTAATATGTATCATTTTGTTAACTTCACCAAGAAAAAAAAATCTATGTGTACTGATAAAGGTACTTTCTGGAGTTATTAAGCATTGTATGTTGAAATAAGATTAACTAGAAAATAAAAGCACAATATTGACTATTTTTGTCTTTTCATATTAAAATATTAAACAAGTACTCCAATGGGTCAAATGACATTTTGTCTTAACACTTTGCATAGTTTTGTGTCTATATGTTTTAGTCTCCATTATGTAATGCCTAAAAATTGTTTGATTTTTGTATCATTCTGAAACTGGATTGTTTGTTTTAGGTTGGGAAAATGCTTTCTTTTTCCACATAGGCTTTTTTTACTTGCATATGTCTCAGATATCCCTCTTTTCAAGAGTAAATCAAAGAATGTTTGAAGATAGCTTGTGTGAATAGATGTTGTTTCTCAACCATGGAAGTGCATTATATAATTCGGAAAAGTTTTTGAGTGGCATACAGTAGAAAAGAAGCAACTGACACTTGAAAAAGCAATGATTTGAAACACATTTGAAAATACTAGTAACACATGAATCAAATGCATTGCAACATAACATAAACAATTTCAAGGATCTTTATTGCAAGGTCTTGTACAAACTTCTTGTACGAACAAAAACCATAAAATGGTGATAAAATTACCAGTGCAATAATAATTATTTTCACACAACAGCACTGACCATAAGGGTGCAAGGTTAAAGATGACCATTTTAGTAAATGTTGAAATTTTTTTGAAAAAAAAGTGCTCAATTTTTGTATGCGCTAGTTGAGAAAAAGAACAAAATAATTTTAGTAAGTGTTAAAATTTATATTTGTGTATTTTTAATAAGATATAAGAAAAAATAACATTAAGACTGATGAAGTGTAGTTATTTAAAGGTTTAAAATGCTGTTTATCGTATTGTAGCAGGAACTTCAATTTATGTTCATCTTTATATATGGGAACTTGTTTGGTGTTTACAGCTGTTAGAAGAGAAAGCTAAAGAGAGAGAGGAGGAAGCTAAAGCCAGTGAGAAATTGATTCAAGAGATTGAGCACGAGGAGAAAGAAGTTGCTATTCAGATCCAAAAGGAAAAAGAAGAAATTGCTGCAAGGGATGAATTATTAGTCAAGGAATTATACAATAAAATAAAAGAGGTAAGAAAATTTTGATATTTAATTTTATAGGTTATCATGTTCAGATATTACAATAGAAAAATATTAATTTAAATTACTTTATCACTTTGACCAAGCTACTGTAGTTTTATTCATTATTTATGTGAGCTATTGTGAATTTTTTTTAGCATGGGGTAGTTTTTATCTCATTCAAAAATGGTGGGTACTATGAACAAAAACCAAAACCATGCTTCAGTACATAGTGTTTGGGTGAACACTGATGTTTATCAAACATGCTCTATCAAATGAGTATGATTGTTGATTCAAAAATTCCATACCACTGAAACTTGTCAATTTTATTTAACCATAGACAAGCCCATGGTTTTTCCTAAAGCAATATTTTTCAACTCCGTTAGCAACAAACAGTATACAAAAAAAGACTTGCAATAGTATATATTCTGCTCCCTCCAAGAAGTAAATCTCTCTGGGAGTCTCTTCTTCCATTATTCAAAATGATAGGTTTGAGTTAGCGTTGGTTGATCATTGTCATAATCAGAAATTTGCTAACTTTAAACACTGTCTTCAGGTTTTTGAACTATGGAAGTCTCTTCTGTATTGGAAACTTTTCGTGTGTTTTCTTTCCTTAAGCTAAGTTCTGGAAGATCTGCCCCTGTGATGGTACTGGATGGTACATGACATTTTTAGTTAATTATTGTTTATTTTATGATATTTTATTAAGTCAATCCTCATCTAGTTTAGTCTCTTTCTCTTATAAATAATAGGGTTTCTTATCACATTTCATATCTGGTCATGGTGAACAGCCTTTGACTTGACATGTTTTTTTGTTGAAGAACAGCCAATACTTATTGCATATAGACTTAATAATACTTAATCACATTACATCACCAAACTGGAATCTCGACTTAGCCTTGTTGACATAATAAAACCTTTTTGTTTTGTCACTGACACATTGCATCCAACTTAAATGGTGTAATTGATGTAAGTTTGATCAAACTTATCTCTATCCTTGGAAGTCTCAGAAGAGATCTAACAGTACCATCAGTTCTTTACAAAATATAGGAAATACTGAAATGTGACAGGTAGTTTTAAGCTATGATTCTGTAGCTGATCAGCAGGAGCAGTAGGACTGAATCCCATATTTTCTGTATTTCATACATACAAAAGAATAGCTATTCTATAGTTCTATTCCATTTGAAGAAGATAAAGGCTTGTTGTTTATATTTTCTTTACTTTTAACAAAATCTTTGTCTAGCGGTCAGGAAGTTTATCTTCAGGCATTGAAATTAGAAAACGGTGCACAGAGATCTTTTCATCACACACATCTTTTGAGAATAATATTAACACTTTTTTATGAAGTTTTTTTTCTTAAAATGCTCTTATGTTTCATTTTCACCACTAACATATGTTGCACAGAAAAATTTCCTATGGCAGTTTTGATCTTAAATTTTTCTTTCATAGGAACTTTTAACACTACCTTAATTTTTAGTTTCAAGCATAGGTGGATAATGGTCAATCAATAGTTGCTGTAGCTACATTGTGATATTTTTATGATTGCACTGACTTGTGTTGTGAGCAAGCTTCCTTCAGAAGTTTTCTTATCAGAGATGTGATTTATTCATCCCAATTTAATTTTGTCCATCATGTTCTGCCAGTCTATGTTACTCTTCTACACTTCTGTATTCCAGGTGGAATTCCACACACTTGAATTTAAAAAAAAGGAAATATTTTTGACAATTTACTTGTTTTTTATTCTTTTTAATCATTGCTTTAGTGTTTTTATGGACCACAACAATGACCACTTGACCATGTTTCGTATTATTTGAGCATTCTCAACTGGAATGTTGCCCTTTGTAATCCATTACAAAATATCCCTGGTTTCTACATATGAGAAATTTTTCAGATTTAGCAGAGCTTCCTTTTGAGACTTCACTATATTAGTAGAATTAGTCCTTCTGAGTTTATATATGTTATCTTTACAAAGCATGAGGTGATTCTTTGTTAGCTGTCTTAATTATCTGTTCAGCTGTTTATCACCAACTGATGGATTTTAACTCCAAAACAAGTTGAACAGCTTTTCTAAAAGTAGCAATTCCAGTTTGCTTCAGTCTGTTGCTTTTGTCTTTCTCTTCTATGAGTGTTTTCTAATTGGTCATGCGCCAGTAAATCCGCAGCCATTTAGAGTAGTTATAGGTAGAACAAGTAAACAAAGTCATTGAACATTATATACAAAATTCTCGGAGAGTTTTCTCCTTTACTTTACATCTGATCTTGGCTATTGATGTTTTTGCTAATGAATAATTTTATAATGACAGGATAGGGAATACACAAAAGACTGATAGTTATTCTTATTTGTGTGTTTAAATATATTGCTTTCTAGCACCCAAGAAATAACACTTAGTCTTGATATTTTTTAATTCCTATTTTACAAAAGTTCAAAGTTCACTTCCAGGGAAGTAGCGAGGGGGTGGGTGGAGTGGTCTTGCCACCTTTCCTAGTATTTCATTTGTCAGTACAAATCAAATTTTCTATGAATTGGTCATCAAAATTGTTATACCTCAATAATTTCTTGTTGTGAATATTTTTTATGCAAACAACAGAAATGCTAAGAAAAATTTGGCAAATTTCTGGCAAAAGGTAATAAAATTCCTAATTGGATCATTTGAATATACTATTAAATAAAGCAGAAAGAGAAACACATTCGGACCACTGTCCACACCCTGGAAATGGCCATTTTGTTGGTAAATTTCAGTCATGCACCCCTCCACTCCCAAATATAGGGATTTTGCTTTTCCCTGACCTACTTCACGAACTAAAATCCATTATGTCAATTTTTATTTTGCTACATACCTTGTTTACAGAAAAGTAAATTGTATCCTCATTCTTAACTCTTTCCATATGGGGCGAGTCGATGTGACCAATCGTGTAACCACAAAGTAACCATCAGTTTCCATGCTATAACTATGTGTGTTGTGTATCTTCAAAAAATTTGCCAAGCTTTCAGTAAACCTTACAAGTCTTTCATACACAATAACTTCTAAAACCTCATAAAAATCAAGTTTTTTTTTGTAAGACTATATTTTATCTTATTTTCTCCATTCTAACTCTTTAGTGATTAGGTCGATCTGACTGACCGTGTAACCACCATAAACAATTAAATCTAAATCACCTTTTTCCTTTCTAGAATGATTGCAGATTGTAACAGAAAACTACAATTGTTTATTCTAAATAGCTTAAAGCTTGTAACAGTCTACATCTGTTTCTACCTAATTTTACTGTTTTATTGCCTTTTGAACTGTGTCTAACAAATAATCCTACCATACAAGTTGTAAATCACCCGGCAAATGCGTAGCTCATGTTACAGTATTGAATGGTGTACCACAGGAGCTGTTTGCAAGCATACCTCATGAAGAATTTTTCTTGCTTTTCATTATCTTACCTAATCTAACCTTATCTAACCTAATAAGTTTCTAATTTTTACATTTGGTTACTTTTATAACAATAAGTAAAGAATATACATGAAAAATTAGAAATATACTTACCTTTGACCTCTTGTTTTTTGCCATCATTTATCAGTGAAATTTTAGTCTTCCTTTTAAAAATAATTATGGTACTAGTACACTAAATATTTTTTATTTACTTAAATAATGCATCTAGGAACACAATAATAACACACACAAATGAAACAATGTCCTATAGCTATTTTAATTTAAGTGGTTTTCTAACTAAGATAAGAGTGGTTTAAGTTAATTTCCTTTGCTGCTCGATCTGATCACCACAAAATATACTTTCAAACTGAAGATGAAGTTAACAGTACTCTGTATTGAAAACAACAGAGCATTAAATGTCATGCTATAGATCAAAACTATGCCTTTCTATTGGTTATATAAGATACAGTATAAAATATCAGTGAGAATTATTGCCAATTTGTCAAAGAGAAGATGTGACAAGTGGACATGGCAAGTGGGTCTGATTTTCTAGTTTATGGCTATAAACAAATAAGATTGAAGGCTATAAAAATTAGAATTTGCCTTAGTAATATCTATTATAATGAGTAATTTACATTAAATTCCATACTTTAGAGAGGGGTGGTAAATAAATTATAGAAGGGGGAAGATGTAAAGTTCTCATATTAGGGGAGATTGAAGATTTTTTAAAAATATTTCATTATAAACTAAGAACTTAAAACTGATATAATGCTAACATTTGATTTTTCATATACGTTTATATGCCAAAGTTGATTTGCATACATTAGTAATGAAGTATTTGAATTTTTGAGCAGAACTCTTTAAAAGATAGTGACATGTGCATGTTGACCTACCTGTAGCGAGAGGGTTAACTAGAACTTTTCTTTTGGTAAAGCAGCAGCCAACTATGCAAGGAAAAATACTGTTGATTTATTTAAACTCTTGATTTTCAATATTATTGTTGTGCTTTCTACAGCATGTCATGGTATTGGATTTTGTATCCATTGTGACAAATCTTAATTTTTCAGTGTGTGATAATACCTTGAAACTAAATTTAATTGTGTAAATAATGTGATTATCTTATGACATACAAAAAATGTTAAATCTTAAAAGATTCTATGATAGAATGTTCTAGTAAGGACAATAGATTTTATAAAAATAAATATTGACTAATTTTGAAAGTTTTCTTAAATATGTTTAATGGAAGTTTCAGCAACACATTCAAAATTTGTTTCTGTTAAAAAGTGTTTGCTATACATTTAATAAATTGCTATAAATGCTGTTCTTAACATCTTGTTTATAGAAAATTACAATTTTTGCACTATCATTAAGTATACCTGCTAGTATTTGCTAAGAAATGTGTGTAGTATGTAATATTTTTTTACTTGCTTTTAGAAGTTCAGATGTTCTTTAGTTAATTTTAATCTTTTTTTTTGCAATTAGCAAGATGAACTGGATAACACAGTTTTTGTAGAGAAATTTCTTCAGGAGATATCTGAGCAGCTGCCTCAGATAGCCTGTTCAGGAGATCCAGGAAGAAAAACTGTTCCTGCAGTCAATACCTCAGTGTCCCTACCTTCATTTAAAAGATCCAGGCAGGGTGCTCATAGTGTTAGCACAGTTTTGGGTACCAGCTCTGACTGTTTGTCAGATAGGCCTAAATCTACATCATCGTTGGGCACATCTCGTAGAAGTAAGTAACTGGAAAAATTGTTACCCATCTGAAGTTGCTACCTTGAAACCAGTCAAGATTCAAAGTGGAACCTTATAAATGTTTTACATAATTCATTAGAGTTTTCTGAGTTTGAGTTTTTTTTTTTTTGAATTGAGGAAAAAGTATATAAAACAAGGTGACTTTGTACTTTGTTATTGGATATCTTTTGTTAAAAAAATGATAGTTTACTCACAGAGAAAATAAATATATGATTCTTAAGTTGTTGTAAATGTTCATTCTCTTGTTTTTTTCTTTTGTTTTTAGATTTGAATTTTCAAGTTTTGCTATTTTGTAAACCACATTTGTTTTATATTTTGGAGCCCAAATTATAAAATTTTATTTCATATTTTTCAAGAAAAAAGTACATGGAAGCTTGCAAAGTATGTTTTGATTTAATTTTTTTTTGGTTTTAAAAGTATATAGTATCACTTAAAACATTGGGCTGTTATCTATAAACTTTAGTAAACTAAAAAGTAATTATATTAGATTTCAGAAATGATGTTCTGTTTTAGTTTTCTTTCTACTTTGTTAATACCCTTATCAAAAACAATGTGAAGGTCATTGATCAAGAAAGAGAACGAATTTATCAGTCTAATGTTATTTCAATATTAATGATAGAAATTATAACTGATTTGGCTTAATATGACAGTATTTTAATGTAAATTTAATGATGTGTTAGTTTTTCACACAGATTAAATATATGTATCCAACAGTGTCTCATAAACATGAATGCATGGTAAAAGAACAACAGGAATGAGAACAGAACTGTTGATAGTATTGTACTGTATAGAAATTTACTTGATTCATTGCAAAAATCAATGTAACCACAGAATCTACAAAGTGGTTTTATAGCAATGATAAAAGGTCATGTGTATATATTGTAATATACTACAAGAAAGAGAAAAACTACTACTAACTGTCATCTCTAACAGTAGCAGACTGCAGAAACTATTTGGGATACCCAAGATACACAAACCAATATTCCTCTGTTGTTAATGCTATAGGTTCTGTTTCCCACAACCTAATATAACACCTCATCACTGTTTTTACTGTCTCAAGAAAAATATGGAAACTTGTGTAAAACACTTTGACATTTTCATCATGGAAGTCAAGAATTTCAGCTTGCTACCTGGAATTTGCCTTGTGAGTTTTAATGTTACAGTTATGTTTCCCAACAATCCCATCAAGCATGCTCTACTTATTGTCCAGAAGATACCTCCTGAAACTACAAGTCATCTTAAATGTGGTTGTTATGTTGGAACTCCTTTCACCTTGCTATAAGAACACTTATTTCCAGAACCAAGAAGCATTCTGTGAACAAACTCATGTCCTTCCCATGGGTATCTCTCTCACCCATCCTTTATAACTTGTGTGTGGAAAACTTTGAAACCACAGTTTTAAATTTATCCATCTGAAACCACAACCACGGAAAAGGTATGTTGACAACACATTTGTAATCTGGCCTCATAATCCATAGATTCTTACTGAATCTCAACTGATGTGACAACAACATCCAATTCACCATGCAAACTGAAGAAATGGATGCCTCTTCTTTTTAGATATCTAACTCCACCAACAGGGCCATCACTTTTCTATATCTGTTTATAGAAAACCAACATACTGATAGTTATCTTTGTTTCTTGTCTAGCCACCTTCTCTTTGTTAAAAGTGAGATTTGGAAATGTGTTTTTGCCCATTTCAATAAACTCTCAGATGAATACTTTAATATCCTCCTACCATATTTTCCAAGGTTTAGCCACAAAGATAAAAATGTTAATATCAAAGTTTACTACGAGTTCAATAGAATATTTAAAAGGTTGCTCATGAAAGTAAATAAAATCTGATTTGCAGAGACAAAAAATGAATGTTATATAAAAGGTAGCTTGTTCCTGTGGAGAAACATACATCAAATAAACTGGGCAAACAATATCGCAGAGTTAAAGGAACACCAAGATGTTACTATAGAACTATATCTGACAAAATCATTCTTACCTGAACATAACTACAATACTGGTCATGTAATCAACTGGAATCAACATGAAATCCTTGATTCCACACCACACTGGAAAACAGGAAAATTGAAGGAAGTCTTCATTTAACTCTCCAACTGACCCTGGACTGTGATTAAGGCATACATTTCAGTCAGATATGATCTCCTTTCCTCTTCAAAGAACATAACAGACAACAAGAATATAGTTCATTTAACCTGAGCACCAACTTAACTCGGAAAACATCATATGACTTTCTTACACCAGAGCCCTCATTTACAGCTGATTTCACCATTTCAATCCACTTTTGCATCAGATTATAATACTAAACTTTTTTGGGATTTCACTTTCCTTAGCTCCAATTAATCACCACTCCTTCCTTCTGTATTACACTCCACAACTCAAAATGTTTGTTCTGATGAAGGCTTGTACAAGCAGCTATAAATTTCTTCATCAATAGGCATATGTAGTCCATAAAAGTTTCCAGTTCAAGGAGTCTCCTCTGCCTAATATTTCTGTTAAACAAGAATAGATCCTATCTACTCATCACAATAGTATTTTGAAGGACAATGTTACAACTATTTCATGTTTTACTAAACAGGGTCTAATCTATTACTCATGTTTTTTTTTGTCAACACACACCTGTAACATGCAACGGTGTGTTTGTCATGTCACATGTCATGTTTAATATGTAATGGTTTATTCATTCTCATGTCTTTCAGTGGCTGCTAAACACTGCTGTTTGGTGCCATGATAAATAATTGTTTGTTGTTCTTTTACTTAGTGAGATAAATCCTCAAATCAGGTGACCAAACCTTTAGTCATTTAACCCCCAACCCCAACAGGTACACTAAGTCCAATAAACCTTGTTCATGATAGCTTTTATTGTATGATTTATTTTCATCTTTTGGGTGAAAACTACTCTGATTTTTCTTTTTAGAAGTAATAGACAATTTTTTTTTCAAAACTAAGCTACCAGGATATTTTATAATCAATCTTTAAGCTTGCTTTCTGAACCAAATTGTCTGCTTGTTAGGGACAAAATCAATAATAACACATGGGTGGTATTTTTTTACTTCATTATAACTGGTTCTAATGAATGCTGTCTCAGCTCTTTCATTGACAGTGTACCAAAGGAGATGATATTAGCAAATCTTACTGGCTGTATGAAATGTCGATTTTAAAATTTAATTTATATTCATGGTATCTTGGTAATAGGGAGGATATCATGAACTGTTAATAAGTAAAGTAGCATTAAGATGCTAATTTTCTGAAGACATAAAGCTAGAAGAACAAAATGTGAAATGGGGTTTGTTTTCATTGCTTAACTTCAACAAGCTGTAAGAACCATAGTAAAAAAATGCAGAGAAAATACCATATGGTCAGTTTCTTTCTCATACAAAAAAAAGCTGGTAACTTGACCATATCTTACCGAGTGGCAGCATTAATCCCACTTGAGGCTTCTTTGCAAGTTTAAGGCAAATCATGTAGGTGAACTAAGATAAATGTATTAAAATAATGCATAAAGTAATTTCTCTGGAGGGGTCACCTGTTTTAACCAATATACAGTAGTGTGTTGTCTGTTAGTCAGCTAGTAGACACTAAAATGGTGTCGCATAAAGGATGCTTAACATTACAATTTCTACTGTTGTGACATCAGTAAAATGTGCGACTGCTACGAATCAAGAATAATTATGCACTCTGTAGGCTACAACATAGCATTACTTATATCCCACTGGGGAGTAACTATTCAGGAATAATACCAAAATCATGATTTTAGGGAAAAAAAGAAACTATTTTCAGTTAAGTTTACACAATGGAAATATCTGTATTTGTTCAATGAAGAGTAACTATAATTATAGAAACTTTATTGTACAATATCGTTCCTCACACTTTAATATCAATTAAAAGTATGTTAAGTCAATACTCTGTATATGTAAAGTATTACAACCCACACTAATTATAGTTTGTACATAAAAAAGATAGAGCTGTGCTTTTAAAGTAGACTTTTAAATTTTATTCTTTCAAAATAAATTTGACAATGTAGATAGGCTTGAATTTTATTACCTTCTTTAAATTCTTAGAATGAGTGGATGATTTAAACTGCTTTGGGATTATATTGTGCAGAACTAAATTGTCTACCAAGAAATATAAAATTAGAGAATATTTTGTTATCTATGATCTTGGAAGATTGTGTGAAAAAACAACAACCTGTAATAAATTTTTAAATGAAATTACTTGGATTCGTAAATTACAAATATCACTGAATATTTTACTTGTGTTTCTGTTATAATTTGTACTGAAGTACATTATGTAAAGAATAATAATCACACTTAAAATTGTGTATTATGAGAATTGTTGGTTTTCTTTTCTTTTTGTAGTAACTGATGAATGAATTGCTAAGCCTTGCCAATGTTTTATCTTACTTTTCATAGAATACAGCCTTCAAATGATTTGTAATGTCTGTGGTATTGTAGGTTAAAGTTTTTATCATTCTTCCTAAAATTAGCCTTATTTTGATATATATTACTTTTAGTCATAGTCTCTTTCCATTGCTTCATTGGGTTGCATTTCATAGGTTTAGCCTGTAGTTACTTCCTCAAATGTATTTGATAAAGGAGAAATCTGTTTTGCATGTTATGATTGACTCAGCTACAAGGTGTCTGTTTTGGCACAAATCAGACATATTTGATCTTGATTATTTGACACTAAGTCAAGAGAACTTTCGTTTGTCTGGTATTGCACAGCACTTACACAATTTATAGAATGTTCTCAGTGGTAGTGTCCTAGTAAGGAGATATTTTTTTTAAATTTTGAGTTAAATTTACTCAAAGTAATCTTAACTCTTTTAAATAAACGTTTCTCTTTTACAAGGGAAACATCAGTTTCTTTATTGAAGCTTAAGCTGAATTTTTACTTTATGTGACTATATTGAGTTGGTACATTTAGCTAATATGTGTTTCATAGTTGTTCGACCTTAAATAAAGAACTGTTTGTTATTTGTAATTGTCTTTATTGTTTCAAAATGTCAGTCTTTTGAAAATAATCCTCACCTGGTCATGCCATTGAACTTTGACTTATCACAATCTGTTGTTGGTAATCTGTGAGGAAATGTTACCTAAAAGAAGCACAGAAAAAAACATTTATGCATTAAGTAAGGTTGCAGTAGAATCTATATATATACTAGGAACAATTGACAGTAAACAGGTGCTTTTTGAACTTGTTTGTAAATACAAGTACATGAAGGTAACTGCATTATGTGCACATCTTAAATAATTTTACAAATAGGGAAGCTGTCTGATAGCTAATGTTAACTACACTGACTGGTCACTTAATTAGGAACCTTACTGAAAATCAGTGTTAAACTGCTACTGCCAACTTGATAATCTGTACTAATCTTTGTGTAGAATGGCCAAGATGCTGGAATGTGTGTGTGTTGTTTGGTTGAAGTCTATTCATCAAGGAGTATGGTCTTTAATTTGACTTGCAAATGCTGGCACAGAATTAGTGGTGATTGTGGTTTGAAGCTCATTTCTAATACATCAATTTGATTGAGTTCCAGTGATTGTACTGTTCAAGGAAGATGACTAGGGTTGCTGTTATGATCTTGGAAACAATTTTGGATAATATGAGCACAGTGGATATCATCATGGAAAAGTTTGTCCTGAGTTGAAATGAAACATAATAATTTGAACATGACAGTTTCTGGTACATTTTAGATTTTTTTAGATAAGCAGTGTTGTTGTACTGATTGTCAGCTGTCTTTGCCTGATACTGTTGAAGATAGCTGAATTCTAAACAGTGCTGAAGAAATCAGTCCATGAGGACACTGTATGGTTCACAAACCTGTTCAGTCAGCTTTTCCCTTAGTTGTTCATCAGTGGTTTACACAGTTTTCTTCATGATGAGCATCATCCCTTTCATTTGCAGTGTTGATAGACTGATATCTCTGGAGAGCTAATCAATGAAATTGTGTTTGTTAATGATACTTTTGCTATATGGGAACCTACTTTCATGTTGTTTTGAAGGCCAAAATGGAACTTACTTTTACTCATTGCCTTTTAAACTTGTGCTTTGACTACGCTATTGCATATAAATAGGTCTATCAACTACATGATATATCACATTACCAGTATTTTGCATATATATATTTGTAATGTTCTGTAAGTGTGTATATGTAAGGGGCTTAATAAAGTCACTGCTTAGTTTATGTCTAAAAATGGCAACTATTATGAATTCAGAAAATAATTTTGAAGCTAACATTTTGACAAGTGCATTTTGTCCCCCTGTGGGATGGCAGCAAGTCTCTAGACTTACAATGCTAAAATCAGGGGTTCAACAGATAGCCCAATGTGGCTTTGCTATAAGAAACACACATGCATTTTTCATTGGTTTCATTTAATTACAGACTCGAGTACTGTTTAATGTTATAATGACTATATTTAAATAGTACAACTATGTATATACAGAGTAAAATAAGCTAGAAATAGCATAAACTGCACAGTTATGATATGAAATATTTAATTAATGAATGATGTAAGTTTGCTAAAACAATTAGGAAATGTGTGTGTGTATATACGTGTGAGTGTGTATATATATATATATACACACTGTTATCTTCAACAAATCTATGTATAAAAATGTAGCAGTAGATACTCAAATACCATTAAAGAAATATCTAAAGCACACGTTTGTGTACTTATAATAAAGTATGAAAATGAACACCTATCTAAGTATACATCTTAACAGTGATGTAAACTATTGGTCCTAAAACAATAGAACTAAAGAGAACAGTCTGTCACGTTTAGTTACCAGAATCAGCAAGGAGTATCCAGGTATGTTTGTAGAGTAATTATTCTTAGTTAAAATTTTACATTTTGAAACAAAAGTGTAAAAGCCATTAAAAGTAGATAAGGTAATGCATGATTATGTTGATTGAGTGTGTTACAACATAATATTTGCTTTACACATTTTTAAGGTTTCCTTTATTGTAATTCAGTTTTGGAAATGATGTGCTTTCATATTTTCAATACAGTACATGTGACCTATCTCTAATGCCCTTAAAGTTTGGGTCATCTACAATGTACCATTTCAATTTCTCTAATGACCTACAATAATACTCTACAATAAATGGCCCACAGGCCATATCAGGTTCTCAAAAGCCTGATTTGTGGCCCACACACTATGATTAGGTATTGCAAAACTGTATTTGGGGGAATGATATGTTCTCCAACAAGCTCAGATCTCAACCATGGTTTGATGGAAATCTGAAGTGGCCCAGTGTGGAAAATAATTGGGAACCACTGGCCTACAACATCTTGGCCAGACACTGTGTCTACTTATAAGAACATTGATTTTTCTCAAGAAGATTCATGCTGTAGTATTCTTGAAAGTACTCCTACAGTCTGAATGTAGTGTATGAATTGGCTTTATGTACAGTTCATTAACTTGCATAGCTAACATTCAGATCTAAATATTTCAAAATGTAGTAACTTTCTTTACATTAGCTACCAGAGATGCAACAGTGAAAGCTAAGTTCGAACAACTTAATCAAATTATTATGTTAAAGAAATCGATGTTATTCCCTTTAAGTATACTGTTTATCACTTCTGAAAGATTTTATCCCATAAGAAAATTTACAGTATTCATCCACTTTAAAATCATTAAAAAGTGAAGTCAGAAGAATGTTTAGAATTTTCAAATGATTCAAATTTACCACCACATTTGCAACCAATATTTCCAGATATTCATCTATATATATTTTCTTTCAAAGTATAGAACTATAAATAAATTACTCACATTTCAAATGTTTTGACTTGTTCCTCTTAATTCAAAGGCATGGCCAAACACACTTCATTTAATATTTTGTTCCTAAAGTCAGGGCCTATATTAATGACCAATTTGCACATTATCAAGAAAAAAGTATAAAGATATTGAACATGGACATACAAAATATGGGCTTTATTTAGAAATGCTAAAAATTGGGTGTTGATACTCAGGGTGGACACACCAAAGATAGCCCAATTTGTAGCTTTTGTGATTAAACAATCAAAAATTTATAAACATGTAAAATGAATGAATTATTAACTACTGCTACTTGGAAAAAAATAAATTGTGAATAATTAGAGTAAATCCCAGTTTGTATGAGCACACTTTAACAAAAAAAAATTTTTTTTTTTTCATTTTTACCAATATAGGCAGTCCCAAGTCTGATACCAACAGCTGGGAGAGTTATGACAGCATCAAACCAGAGATGACCCACTTCAGACCCATCAAGATTGCCCCTCGTACTCCTCCTAAGAGGCTTCCCAGTGGAAAATTAGAGGAACCTAAACTAGTTCGAACTAAAGCACGAAAGTTAGACTTTGGGAGGTGCAGTGGAGACAACCAATTTGGCTCAAGTTTTATGAAGCTTGAAAGTATTGATGAGGAACACCCTAAAAAGTATAGCCCAAAGTTATTAGAAAGTATAAAGGAAAAAGCCAAATCTTCAAATGACTTCAATTTGATATCTTCACCCACTAGAACATCATTTGCCAGTTTTCAGTCCAAATGCACTTCTGATAAATTAGCTGTACCTGGTCCTTCTGGACTTTGCAAAGCCAAAATTTGTACTCCAAATTATGAAAGAGTAAATATATCATGTGCTGGAAAGAAAAACAAATCAGAAGCTGCTTGCTCTAAAAAAAAAGTAAAAAATCATCCCCCATTTCAGATAAGTTCATCAACACCAATCTCCACAAAAACACTAGACTATAGAAATAGCTTCATACCTTGTGTTTTAACATCTCCTCATGAAGAAAATTGTAATTACTATTCACCCCTAATTCAAAATGAACAGAATTCAAAGCAATGCATCATTAAAACTACACGTATGCATCTTAATAATACAAATACAAACATCCAGTTAAGCCCTGGTAGAGTGTACAAAATGAAAAAAAAGTTCTCATCAAAATCCAGCAATAACAAAAGCTCTAAGGATAGTGCAAGCCATTCTGAACAGAAAGTAGATAGTATATCTAAAACATGTTATGACGAGCTTTTTGCCAGTGAAACTGATGATGAAATAAAGTTACGGAAGAGAAAATATGCCAATACTCAATATGATATCTTAAGTATAATCTCGGAAACTACTGACTCAGAACAAGAGAATTCAGAAACAGAGAAGACTCATTCAAAGAAAAAATGTATTGGTAAAGCAAATGGCGAAAACTGCTTTCCAAGAACAGATGTGTCTAATGGTACACTTAAAAGCAAGCAAAGTTCAGAATGTCAAAAATTATCAGATACAAAGAGAAGATTAAAAACTTTGAGAAGCCACAGGCACAGTTACAATGCAATAAAGACTACCAGCCATCAACATTTATGGCAGCAAGCATCACAAGACAGTCAAATAAGCACAGATAGTAACATTAGTGAGACTAATGAATATAACCAAGAAGAAAAAGATCGCATACTTGCTATGAAGCTTCAAGAAATGTTTGACCAAGAATATCAGATGGATGAAAATATTTTTGAAAGACAGTACTACTTGAGAGACAGATCTAATGGACATGTTGCCTCCAATAAAAAGGTGTGATGTAGATTTAATAATTATAATTTGTTAAGTTCCCAAGTTTATTATTTATTACATCTGTTTTGTGACATGAATGGTTTTATCAGTGATCAAGTTTTTCTGAACTTTTTACACAATAGTAAAAACTACTGAGAAATGGAGATAATTCAAGGACAGTTCAGTGCTACTAATGAACAGTATAACTAAGTAAAAATTATAATAATTTTAGACTAAGTTTCACATATGTTTGTGATGTCAGAATAATAGTGTATGGAAAGTTTAAGTAAAGTGAGCTGGGTTGGAGAAATTTTGTATATTTTGTACAAATATCTTGTATTATAAGTTAAGAATGTTAAGGAAAGAAGCTTGGGACTCAAATGTCGGACAAAATGAATGCTGTTTAACTCATTTGCAGGATTTTGTGAATTATTAGATGGTTAATGTTTTTCAACAATAACATATCAGTATTATATAACATGTTCACTGGAAAGGAGGCAAGGTTACCAAGGTTTTGGTAAATTTTTACTTGTTTTTGCTTCTCACTTAACAGCAACATAGTTTTCCCACTGGCAGCATTGAAAAATAGTGATAATATCTGATTCTTCTTGGCTTTTATTGTTTGTTACATTGTAATATATTGTCTAACATTGATGATGTTAAATTGCTATCTTAGCTTAAATGTTTGATTAAGCAAACAATTGATATAAGATGAACAAAGTGTAAAATTGTACAGTTTATAAACTAGATGATATGCTGACAAGAAACCTTCTGTAACATCTAAAATAACTTTTTATTTAGTGCCTTCGAGATGTTCAGAATGTTATGTTATTCAAAGTATCAATTATTTTACTATGTTTTTCTTATACCTTTGAAACTAGCCTTGACTTTATAGAATATGTATAGGTATTTTAAGACACAAATGCATAGTATAATTGGTGCACTAAAACTTTATTATTAAAAGTAAGCTTATTTACTTTCTTGTTAAGCTCACTTTGTTAGTACTTAATGTTTTGGGTCTTGCTGAAATATTCAATTGTAACTTGATTTATTCTTGGCTGAAACTTTTCATAACCAAAACCTTTTATTATTTCATATTCATGTGATTCAAAAGTTTTAATTATTTCATACTGGAAACTTAAATATGTAAAAAATAATTGGTTTACTCGTATATCTTGTGGCATTTAATTAATAAAAGTAATACTCCTTTTAAACCATAATCTTTTATTATTGCAAACACAGATGTATTGCTAAATGTTTTGACCACATATGTTCAGTTTATCATCAGGCAAGGTACAGATTTTTCACTTTCTTGCTGATAAAAGAGCTACTTTAGAAAATGTACATTTTAGTGATCTTTGTTTTAAGTTTTTCTAATCGATAGCAAGTGAAGCTTTCTATGTTAAACAACTAATTATATTCTAAAGATAAATATGCTAGCATTTCTGATAGAAATTAAAGGATATAGAATTTAACAACTTTTGTACAGATATCAATATTAAACCACTTTTGAGGTTAGAAATTCTTCAGGTGCATAAACTTGAATTTATATTATGTACAATACAGAAATATCCTAAAATTAGTAATCTTGTCTTTTCTTGTATTTTTATAAATACATTAGCACTTGTATATTATATGTAAATCAAATGAAACATTTATCCCATAGATAATAAAGTAATATACTAAAGTAATAGAAGTTTTTGTGATTATTAAGAATAAATACTTAATAGTCCACAATGTTTATTGAAAGCAACTTATCTCTGTTGTATTAACCAGTTTTGTGTTTTGAACTGGTTGACAGGATGATTCACCTTATTTTCCCAGAATAGTAAAAAAATTTCCACTTATGTTTAAAACATTTTTCTCTTGTATCAAGAAATCATTAATGAATACAAATACTATATTAGCAAGGTTATTTGATGTTCAGTTTGTTAGCTGTATATCCAATAGCAATTATTTAATCTTGTTAAAAGTGCATCTAATGCTTATTTAAAATGTTTTGCTGTGCAGTAAACTTTCTGATTAGATATGTATAGAAGGAACTGTGGGAATTATTTAACATGATTTTTATAGTTTGTATATAACTCAACTTAAAAGATTTGTGCAATTATAAAAAGGTCCATATGAAATATAATTAAAATCAATTTTGTTTTATAGGAAAACCTATAGATATAATTCTTATTTTATATAATGTTATGAATGAATTTTATGTTACTATTTATCTTAGTAGTTTATTTAATCCCATATTTACAAGTGGATGATCTATCACCACATTTGTGTGACAAGCATTGAAGTGCTTGTTGCTTTAGTGGGGTACTCAGGTATTCAAAGTGAACTAATCAGGAAATTATTATTTGCATTCTTGTTAATAATTTCCAATATGATACCTTACCTTCTCTCACATAATAGCTTTTCTCATTCAGTGCTGCTCTCTATATGCATAAAATATTTTGCTCTCTACTAGCCTTGATACTTCCACTTACCCTATGTGTTTTAATGTAGTACAGCTGGGCTGTATCATGGAAATAAGCATGGGACAACCCAAACACCCACTTTGTGAAACTGGCTTCTTCTGTACTGGAGAACTCAATCTTCACTTTTTGATTTTTCACAGTAATGTGAAGAAGTGTCAAATTTTGCTTGTGTTTGATTTTGATTTGAAATTTTTTTCTCCACAAAACATGAGTTACTGTAGGTTGTTATTTTTGTTATCCACTCTCAGTTAAGTTTTAATTTCAAATAACAGCTACTACTGCACTTCAGCCTGCAGTTTCTGAGGCTTCGGGCTCCACACTTTCAGTTGAGGAGGTCTCAGTTTTAGTACGTAGTGAATTGGAGTCCATTATGTGGTCTGTAGTGTCTCCTTATCCCAGACTAGTTATTTCCTTTCCTGGTGAACCTGAACATAATGATGATGATTTGGATAGCCTTTTTTACACCTTCTTCTTTTTCTGTATAATCCCATAATCCCCCTGTCGATGCCCCAGACTGTCTTCAGCTTTTCTGGATATGGTGTCACAAGTATGTTACCTCTAGTCTGTGTTATATGATTTCTTCTCTATTACATGTTGCACGTTCATCTGACTATCTGATGTTCCCTTCCTCTCCAAATATTGGTGTCCATGCTGGCCAGTTTGTGACACAGTTACATTCTGTGGTAAGCAAGCCTCGGATAATTACACTTTGGTGTAACATCGTTTAGATTTTCCATCGTGGACACTCAAACTTTAGTTTTTAATCCAGGTGTGGAATTCTGACCCTGATACCCCTGTGAGATATACCCAATCCCAGTTTTACAAGAATTTGTTGGAGGATACTTGTTCCCTTATGTATTCCACTGTAGCACATTATTCTTCTTCTGCCATTTCCTTTCAAACTTGGCTTCTCTGTTGTTGGGATCTCCTGGATAAGGATGCATTTTAACTAATGTGGGCCTATTCATGACTTATCTACACAGCCTCTGTATGGCCCCGTTTTTTACATAGGACAGTTTTCAGTGATCTTCCCTTTGTCTCTCATATATTGCAGTCTTCACCCCCCCCCACACCCTGTTCCTGTTTCTTTCTCATCTTGTCATCCTTCTGCACTTTTGCTTGTTCCTCTTTCCTGAGTTTTGGCAGCTAGCCACCAGGTTACTTATCGCTAGGTCCCCCACCACCAATGGTACCAGTGAGTATTCTGTAGGTTCTGGCAAGGTTGGAGCATGGTTGGCCAAGTTTGTTCATCTATGGAATGGTCTCACCTCAGATCCTTGGGTGGTTCAGGTGTTATCAAAAGGCCTTTCCGTTCAATTTCTCATCCCCTTCCATTATTCCCACATCCCATCCGTTTCCCCTCCTGGGGATTCTATTTCTTGCCCGCATCTCTCTGAAGCAGCTCAGAGTCTTTTTCTCAAGGATGCTTTAGAATCTGTCAGTTATCATTCTCCAGGATTCTATTACAGGTTTGTCATTCCACAAGAAGACTTAGGGACTGGTATCTTATTATAGACTTTTGCAGACTCAATTGTTTTCTCAACCTTCCTCATTTCACCATGGAGTCCTTCCTCAACCTGCACTGGGCATTTACTCCTGGTCTTTGGATGATAAAAGTGGATATCATGGATGCATATCTTCGCATCCCTATTTCCCCAACATCTAGGTGTTACCTTTGTTTTGGCCTCATGGGTAAAGTTTATCAATTCTGTGCTTTGCCATTTGAACCGTCATCTGCACCCTACATATTCTGTTGAGTGGTTAGGGCCTTTGCTGGACTTATTCATTCACATGGTCAGCAGGTTCACCATTACATGGATGACTGGTTGCTATTAGCTCCATCCAGACAGGCATCTCACATGCACACCCAATTCTTTCTTCGAGAGGCAGTTGGAGAAATCCTTTGTTATTTTAACCCAATTTCTTATTCACTTGTGGGTGTTTTTTAACTCCTGTCTCAGTCGAGCCCAGCCTTCTCCACTTCATTTGCTGGCAATGGAACTATTAATTACATGAATGACTAGCTGTTATTAGCTCCATACAGTCAGACATCTCATGAGTACACCCAGTTACTTCTTCGAGAGGTAACTCAGGTCGGTTGGCTTGTCAAGTTGGAGCCCAGCCCTCTCCATTTCATTTGCTGGCAATGGAACTATTAGTTCTCCAGGCCCAATCCTTTTCTAATCTTACTGCATACAAGGTTCTTTTGGAGACTTGGACTTCCATGGAAGCACTCATTCCCTTTGGTCATGCTCACATGTGCACCCTTCAGTGAATGTTGCATGATCAGTGAAATCTTGTTCGGATCTCATATGACTCTGTTCTCCATTTCCCTGCCTACACATTGATTTTGGCTTGGCTCAACATTGACAACACCACGACAAGTGTTCCTCTTCTGCCTCCCGGTCCATAGTTGCCTCTTTTTTAAGGACATTTCTCTTGACAGGTTGGGAAGCATATCTAGACACACAGTAAATCGTGGGTCATTGGTCTTTGGTTGAGGCAGCTATGCACATCAATATGCTGGAGCTTCTTTCCATTCATTAGGCTCTAGATCATTTCCTGCCTTTAATATGAGACAAAGTGGTCATGCTTCATTTCCGACAATTCGACCATTGTGTCGTATATCCATTGACAAGAGGGTACCCATTCACTTTGTTTTTAGATGTTAGCTCACCTCTTCTGGGGACACCAACTAGCGTATTATGTTCCAGGTGCTCTGAATTCTGTTGTGGATCAATTGTATCATCCTGACAAGGTTATCCCCACGTAGTAGTCCCTCGATCCTCATGTATTTAGGTGGTTGTTTGATCAGTAGTGTACTTCTATCTCTTCTGGATGCATTTGTCACCCATCTCAACGCCTAGTTACCCCTTTTTTGTCCCTGATCCCATATCCTTTGGATTTGGCAGTGGATGCCTACAGTCAGGATTGGTTCCACCTTTACCTGTATGCCTATCCATCTCCTTTCCCGTGGTTTAGCCATTATCCAGTCCACTTCGTGTCAGGTCCCTTTTCTTGTGTTTTTTTTTGGCACTGCTCAACCTATCCCCCTCATTCGACAATCTCAGTCACCAGTGTATCCTCCCAATGTCTCCTCCAGATTCATATATGGTATTTGTCTGATCTTTCATGGGGTGGTCTGGTCTATCCACATGGGTAGTTTCCATTCTTTCCCAATCTTTTCAACCTTCTTCCTTGTTGGTGTATTAGAAAAAAATTATGCATTTTTTGGTGGTAGCCTGTGTGCCATGGTTACCACCCTTTTCATCCTACTGTTCCTCATTTGTCTGAATTTTCTATCTGGCTGTTTGACAATAGTTTTTTCGATTTTACCATTGCAGCTTTGTCCACCACCTTCTGTTTCTCCCATTCCCATTGAGTTTTTTCTTCCCTGATTCTCTCCCTTTTGTTTCTCTCCTTTATTCTGTGCCCTTTCTGATTGGGACCTCACTGTGGTTCTTACCTTACCTTACCTTACCTCCTTACCTTACCTCCTTTTGAACCTTTGGCTACGTGTTCCCTGTACCATTTGTCCCTGAAGACCTATTTTTTACTCCTTTTTACCTGTGGTCATCGTCTTCACCCACGAAGTATCATGTGTCCTTTATCGCCATACCTATTTTCTCCTTTATCCAGATCTCATAATTTTTTCTGAAGAAGTCAGTGGCTTGTCAAGATGACTCACATTCACCCCTGTTTCACTTCCTTCCATTTCTCATTTATATTCCTGTTTTTATCTGGATCATCTCCTCTGTCCTGTTTGTGCTCTACGATGTTATATTGCCTGCACAGCTTCTTTCTGTAGTTCCCATTCCCGTTTGTTTGTCCATTGGAACCCTTCCTTTCTCCATGATATTTCTCCTACCATTCTTATGGGGTGGATTTGTCAGCTTATCAGATTGGCTTATTCTTCCTTGTCCTCTGATTCTCAACATCTTTTCTAAGTATCCTCTCATCAAGTCTGAAACTCTCTCCCCTTTTCCTGTCTGCCCATTTTGGTTGTCCATTGGAGGAAATCATTCAGGCTGGTATGAGGAATACATCTAATACATTCATCTCCCATTACCTTCATCATGTGGCTGTCTCCTACTGATCTGGATACCGAATAACAACTGTTGCCATTCTCCACACCTAGGTTCAACTGTGAGTGGGTGAGTTTATATTTTTTTATTTCCTTTCCAGGGTCTCAAATGTACATCTTGGACCCCACTCTGTGGTGAGTGGTGTCTGTCCAGGTATACTAATCCATAAATCATCACTGTACAGCCATTCTGGTCTATAATGGCCACTGTTGAGATGGGGTGTTCCACAAGACTGCTAGTAGGTTCATTTTGTTCGCGATGTTTTGCATCTTAACTGTTTCCATTCCAGACTGTACTAACTCATGGACTATCGTGAGTAAAGCAGTGTCAGGATAGCTGCCCATCCCTCCTATCCTGGTTGAATAAATCAGGACCAGCCTGCTTTTAAAAACATGTTTTCATGGTCACCCATTGCATTTTCTGCAGTGTTGTGTTCCTCTAGACTCCAATGTTTTGTACCCCCCCCCCCTGTGTGGAATACAGGAGCACTTGCTACTTACCAGCACCTAGCTGCTGGGGTGATGAACCATGAAGGCATCCTCCTGAGTGTGTTCAATCCCATTCAGTTGAGAGTAGGGTAGTGGTGTTCTGTCAGTGTAGATGGTGTGAACCCTCCTCCTACTATGGACCAGTAGAACAATATTTGATGCTTCCTGGTTATGAATTGTAGATGATACACCAAAATGCAATTCACCCACTCCAGTGGGACCCTCATCCCGCCACCACCACCTGAATGTCGATTCCTGGGTGATCTGGTGTTGGATTAGAGCTGGACCAGCTAACATAAGTCCTCGCACATGTAGCTGGTTGGGAGCTGTTATACTACCGTGGCCAGGGCACTAAATGCTCAATGCTGCCTGGTTTTGGATTTGAGTGAACCACCACATTGCATTCCTCCTTCTCACCATTTCTAAAATGTCAGTTTCCAGGTGGCCTGTTTTTGTTTGTATACTGATTTTGTGCATAAGTGTCCTGTTTGGAACATAAGTTGTTTTCTCCCTTCTGCTTCTTAAGTTTGAGGTGAAAATGGTTGTGACTCTCCTCCTACCACGAACTGGAAGATAAATGCCCAATGTTACCTGTTTTTGGACTGTAGTTGACCCACTGATTGCAGTCTGATGTGCCTTAGCCACTCTACACCATTTGGTACATCCAGTGCTTGTGGATGTGCTCCCTTTCCAATTCAGCAACACATATTTTCACAATTGACGAATAGTATACCTGGCTCAGATGTGATTTGGTCTCCCATGGGTGTGTTCTTCTACAGAGAGATGTCTCCAAAGAGTGCTCATCTAGGTAACATTTGCACGGGTCACTCCACCAGCTCAGTGTAGGATTCTAGCTATTATATGAGAAGAGGTAAGGTATGGTATCAGAAGTTATAATTTTCCTAAACTTGGAGAAAGTTATCAGTAAAACTTTTGTTGTATTGCCAAATGTGACAAGTAAAAAAGTGCAAATAAATGAAGTTACAATGATTGCTTATTCATGATCTACATGCAAAGAGTTAAATTTCGCAAGAAGTATTTCCATATGATAATCAGAAGTATGTTGTTGCAGTCCATATTTGGGGTGAACTGGTAACATGTTTAATACCAATATTTGGTTCACGGGAAAAATATACATATAAAGCTTCTTTGAATTAGAAATATTAATAAGCAAGATTGTTAAAATGACTTAGAGATAAAGAACACCACATTCTGAAGACAGGAGCCTGCAGTGTTTTGAAATTGAGCTGAATAATTTTTTCAACAGTACAGTTACTACTGTAACTGTCTCGAAAACCACTGAATAACAGCATAAACTTTTTATTGTATCAAATTATAAGTATTGAATATAGTCCCAGGTGTCTTATATTACTATTCACAATTCAACAAAGTTGTTTTAATGCCATTTCACCGTTTTTGAGTTTTTAAGCCAAGTACAACCTTAATAACATTAATATTGAAACTTTGTGCAGGCCAAACCATGGTTGCTGTGTTCCATTGACTCCTTTTTCCTTCCAGATATTGTTTCATCAAAGTTGCCGAACAATTAATCCATGGTCAACATGTCTTATTTCTGAGGGAATGGCACGATGGATTAAAATGCCCTTCTATGTGTAAGCGGTCAGGGTGCTGTCAATTTGTGTAGACCTCCAACACCATTGGCTGAGATGCAGCCAAAGCTTGTATTGGTACCCCAACAGACTTCACTGTAAGTGATGTATGTTGGAAATGATACCATCTCTTCTGTCATTAAATAAATTATCGTTAGTTGTTGCTAAAAAACAGCAACAAAAGGATTTCAATTTATTTGTAAAAAACACCCTCCTAGCTTTGCTTATCCCATTTTTATGGAATCTGATGCTCATTTCAACCCTTTGGTTTGTTTATCTTTCTTAAGCAAATTATGTTAAAGTGTATCCTACTGTTCTGGAAGTACAATTCACATCATTACTTACAGCTACTAAATTGACATGTATTACATAAAGAACACATCCGAAGTTACGTGATACCAGTTTTGAAGAGTTTGAGATTTCTACCTTGATTGCATCTATTAGCAACAGTACTGTATTATTTTTTCAAATAATGCAAGGTCTTTCAACTTAAGTGATTAGTGTCATGACTTATGAAAATAATCGACAAACCATAATTAGTTTTTGATTATTCCAACCATCCAAGTCTCATCTGAGAATGTGGCAAGGTGTAAGAGGATCGTTCTTATACTTAGAGTCTGCACCAGCCATGTTGAGAGTGATGTATGTGTTCTTGGTCCATCCTCGAGATCAATAGGTTGATAGACACATTTCCGACCAATCCTAATGCAATCTTAAGTGGTTACACCCTCACATGCAGGAACATAGGGTAATAGATAAGGGTTAAAGGTGGCAGTGAGTAGAGCTGGGAGATTAACTAAAATAATAAATTACTCGCAAGCATTGCTTACTTCGATTAGTGTAACGTAAAATTATTGATTAGTTGAAGTTACAATTAAATTGATTCATGTCACGAAAATAATAACCAAAATTTGTGTTTCCGATTGTAACTGTTTTCAATTATTCAAACTATCCAAACTGTTGACGTAATGGTTTCTTATTTTTGTTTAAATCAAGTTTCCTCAGCCAAACAATTATTTTCATGAAACATAGAAAATAAATAATCAAAATTGGTGTTCCAGTTATAATTGTTTCCAATTATTCTAATTATCTAAGTAATTGAAATACTGCCATTATGATTTATCATTATTAATATTTTTGATTAATTCAAGCTTTAACACGTTTGGAGCAGCATGGCCTTTGATTAGGGTGGTTGCAGGTACGATTCCCATCGTTACCAAACGTGCTCTCCCTTTCAGTCACGGAAATTTTATATTTATTTTTGAGTTACGCAAAGTTACTAAGACTATTGGCAACTGTCCCTTATTTTGAACTGTTGACCAGATAGAAAGCAACTTGTTGGCAGCACCATCTACCAAATCTTGGGCTACTATTTTTACCAACGAACAGTGGAACTGACTGTCACATTATAATGTCCTTACGGCTGAAAGAGTGAGCATGTTTGGTGTCACTGGGTGTTGAATCTGCGTTCCTCAATTCACGAGGCAACCTATTCTATGCATTGTTAGAGAGTAGTGGTTGGTGCTGTAGGCCCGTTGCCCTTTAGCCATCAGTTCAAAATTAGGGACTCCTGATAGCCTTAGTAGCTTTGCCATAACTCATACAAACTTATTCAGCTTCTTACATACCAACTGAACTCGCATACAACACATAGCTAATACTACTGCCATTGGCGAGGATGCGCATGACAGTGTGCATATGTTCTGCTTTAAATAATTCATGAATATGAGAGTGTGGCTTAGTGGCCGTTGGTTATATAACTAGCCACAGTGATACCTGTTGTTCGTGTTTGAAAATAAACAATAGTACAACAAGTCTGATTATGTGCAACTAGGTTGTGATTTCAATATAGCTTTCGTAATGTGCAGTGATAAATAAACATTTGGTAAGGATAATAATATGTTAAATTGACATTACAAAGTAATGACTAATTTTGTACCCATAGTAATTTTATTCTCCTATACCGTTAACAAGTGAAGTGACACGTGCTGTCACGTTTATTGTACCTTTATATAGTGAAGACATACCTAGAGTATCCACATGTTTGATTACCTCAATATAGTTGTGTTTGTATAAAAGTCATAAACTTAATCCTCATTATTAAGCGAACGTAACTTATGTTAACCTGTATCTAATTGTAATATCTAGTTTTATGTAGTTTTAGTATTATGAATATGCGTATATGATACTTTTTCAGGTATAGTCTAGCATTAAAAATAACTTAATCGTTGTTTTACATGAAGACCTTTGTCACATTAAATGATGGGAAAAAGTTTAAAACAATAATCTGAAAATTGGAATATTAGTCTCACGTAAAAATAATTAGTTGAATGTAATCAACTAATGAGTTTGGTGATTAATCGATTAACAAATTACACTAATTGCTCAGTTCAAACTGTGTGAATGGACTGAACATTACAAGACTCAATGAAATAGTCTATGGAACTTCAATGTGACTGGATAAGCCACAGCATCAAAGGCGCTTTATGGAGTCACCAATGATAAAAAAGTATGGGGAGTAAAAAGTAAGTTGGCGTATTTTATCGCAACACTGTATAGCCCAAGACCTGGCGGTGGGTGGTGATGACTAGCTGCCTTCCCTCTAGTCTTTCACTGCTAAATTAGGGATGGCTAGTGCAGATAGCCCTCGTGTAGCTTTGCGCAAAATTCATAACAAACAAACATCCAAGTACTTAAGGCAAGGACCCCAAAGAAACTTGGCTGCTTATTCAGATGAGTTAAGTAGATTGCATGGTAAGGCATTACTTACCATTTCATTTTGAAGATTGTGATGAGGTACTCCTAAACAAGTTTATTGAGAAGTTACCTATTGAACCTATCTAATTAAATCTTCTGTTCTTAAAGTCATCATTAAGACCTGCAACTCCATTTGCAAAGTAATGAAATATAGCCCACTATACTGCCCCCCATTTTTTATTGTGAAGTCCCTGTAACAATCCTAATAAAAATGAAATGAAACGATACTTGCCCCTAATAGAAGTGCACTCTTACTTTTTCTAGTATAATGGTCAGAGTATTACTGAAAGGTACTTCAGTAACAGTTGGCACAACAATATTGTTAAACCAAATAAGTTCCTCTATTCCGTATTTTGTAGTAGATAGTGTTTAGGTTGGAACTCTTGAATTGATGCAGAAAGAGCTGTGATGGTTTAATACTTGTATTTGGTTATTCATTTCCTAGATATTTTATTATATCACTAATGTTCTTTTGTACCCCATTGATGCTTTTTTCACTTCATCAATTGTCATTACAGCTTTCCTGGACTTTTTTGATGTCCTTCTATATTTCTTCAGACTTGTTGTTGTTATCCCTCTATATATCCCTATAGTTTCATTGATCTTGTCTTCAATCAGGTTTATTTTTAATTGTTCTTTAAGTAGCACATTGCTTTCTTTTAACCCTTCTCTTAAATTCTTGTTTTTTTGGTTTTCTTTTAGTTTCCTGTCATGTTCTTCTAAGTTTCCCTCCCTTTCTTGTTCTTTGGATTTTATATATCTTTCTTCTTGGTCTTCTTTTATATTTCCATCTCTTTCTTCTAATTTTTGGTTTCTTTCCTTTTGATATACATTAATTTTGGCCTCCTTTCATCATCTTTTTTGATTTTCTGTCCTGCTCTTCTTGGTACTCTTTTAACTGTTTCATTAGCTCTAAGAAATCCCCGATATCGCCTCATTAGGTCATCTCGAAAAATGAAGCTTACTAAATGTTCTATTTTATATTCACCAAAATAATCCCACTTCTTACACCACTGTTGTAATATTGTTCTATCATTAGGCGAACTCTTTTAAATTATTTGGTGAAAATAATTCGAAATTCAGACCATGTACTGAGGATAATTCTGTTTATTTCTTCCTTAACGTTTCTAAAAGTTTGTACACTGTTGTAACTTCTAAATTTAGGCCTAAGTTTACAAATGATGTTCAAATGGATATACCTTTTTATGGTATTACCATGAAGGTAAAAATAAACTTTTATAATTTCACAGGTAATTGACTGAGTAACTGAAATTATGCGATCTAATACTCATCCAAATACTTCACTCAATGACAGTCACTACCAACTGAAAACTAAACACTAATTCAATCCTTTAATGTTCCTTGTACTTATAATGTAGTTTTGTCTCTAGATGCTTCGCAAAAGTACTAGGTTTTCGTGACATCATCTAGAGCATTCTAGTCCTACTCTCACAAACTTAATTGACCATAATGTCATACATCCAATGGCTTACATCCAATTTAAATCATTGAAAATATAGCTCACAACAGTATCATTCAAGTGAACAAAAGTCTATTGGCTGTTCTACAAATATAATGTTTGAAAAAAGATGTTATGCTAACAATAAATCTTATGTACAGACTGCCACAACCTGTGGAGTGTCTACACGAACACGTGAATTGGCTGAAATCCACATTAATTTAAAAGCAGGAAGTCACACATCAAAAAACGGTGAAGACAACCAAGAGGTAGAATAGAACCTGTGATAAAATGTCAAAAAAGCATCAGCTTGATGGAAGAAACAGGACATAGCTATTTATCATCACAAAAAAATACCAATGAAACCAGTAACAGCTGTGACTAATGCTGTAGAATCTTAATTTAATTTCAAAACAACATGCTAGTAGACTACATCATTATAAACACTGCAAGATGGTATGTAATTCTGAAAAATATAAATAAATACTGTAATCTGTCGTGCTTTAACTGTACGATTCCTTCTGCTGTTCTTTTCGCTGTAGCTGCTATTTCGTTTGACCACCATATGATCACAATGTCCCCATTTTATAATGCTGCTTCCTGATTGACTTATACTATAAGGTCGGATGAATATTTACTGACTTACTTGTCCATTGTTTGAGAAAGAGAGGAAATTAACTGATGCTTCAGAAAGCTCTCAGCAGCCGTACTTGTACTGTAGTAGCTTAAATCTATGAAATTCAGCAGTCTCATGGTGAGTGGAAATGTATAGAACATGCTACCGAACTGAAATAATATACAACTAATGATCATCCGAAGTATTGGTTAGACCAATAAGCAGAAAATAATTTGTAATTGCTGACATTCACTACTACTCAGAGCTAATTAAGGGATAGCAAATCGATTTTTTCCTGACTGTTCATAGTAAGTTAAAGGAAGAAGAGTTGACACACGAATAATTAACTTTGTCAAACCCATGTCCGTAAGACAAGTTAATCTCCATGTCATTAATGTTGGGAATGAAAGGCAAACTTCAACAGTTAGGGTACTTCCGAGTTCACTAGGTTTTACCAGTTAGAATAGTGAATAATGATGGCTAGAGAGCCAAAAAATCATTAACACTGTGAGCATTGCATAACTACACACATGATGTTGTATTATGGTGCACTTGCAACTCTGATTTTATATGCATAATCTGTGAAATTAAAGTGGAGAATGAGTGAGAAGAGAGCAAAAATAATAGAACACTGGAAAATAGAAATAGCATCCACATTTGTCATTATTGCATCATACACTAATTAGAACTGCCATTAACTAGAAGTACAGAATCACAGTTTTCATTTACTATTTTTTCCCTCAGCCAAAATATCTGGAGTTTTGAATTGTTTGGTTTTTGTTAATAATATGGAGTGTGTGGTATAGTATAGTGACTGTTCAGGTTGAGTTAGTAGTTGGTAATGAGAACATGTATCAATACAACTTTTTCCTAATGTTTAAGTAAACATTAATAAAACTGCATTAGTCAAAACACAAGTTGTTCAAGCTATAAAAACTGTTTCAGAGAAAAGTTTATATGGAAAAATATGTAAATCATCATGCATGTGAAAAGATGTAAAAGTTAAACTTTGTTACTC